TAAGGGTGGGCACAGCAGAAGCTCTACATACTCTGTACTTTGTATATAGGGGGAGGCAGAGGGGCTCACAGTCTGTAGGACATAAGCAAAAGCTGGAAGCTCTGCACGGTGATTTTCTGAAGAGAGAGAAGCCCTCATTTTTGTAGGTATTATCACCAAACCCTGCACTACTTTGCACAGGATAGTATTGGGCAAGTTGCTATAGCTTGGAGCACACTCTGTTCAAGCTGTGTGCAGCCTGAGGAGCCTGCATGTACCTCTCGCTTGCATGTGGCCTCTCTGTGCTCAGGAATCCAACGTAAGGTTTATATCATCCCACACAGAGGTGCAGATGTCAGCTTCCCAGAGCAGCAATAACATGTCTCCTCTCCAGTAAGTTATGTTGTTTTCCCAGCGTCTCCTCTGAAGTCACTCTGGCTGCTCCTGGTTCTTCCACAGCTCCATACACCATACACTCACACATTTTGTTCACTTTGAAAATTTTTGGCTGGAGACTGTCAGATGTCATAAGGCATATCTGTCCAGATTTTGAACTTGCCTAAACTGGCAGAGCTCACTCAGACTTAGTGTTTTATATCTGCACAGGATCTGTCTCATGCTCTCTTACCAGCAGAGATAACACTAGTACAGCTGCCACACTGATCATGTAGAAATATAGCTGCAAATTAGTCATTTATAGTGGAGCTGAGGTGTAGAAATCAATTAAACTTATTTGTTCTTTTTAAGTATTATATTTTGACCTGCTTCAGTAAAGTACCAGTTACAAAGCAGTGTAAGCAGCCAACATGAGTCTATGTACACACACGTGTAAGTAACAACCCTTGTTGAGACATGATTCCAGTATCATATGCCCTGTTCTACTGAATCCATTGAAATGAATCTCAACTTATATTATCATAAATGAAAGCAGAATTAGGTTTAACATGAATATGCAGCCCTATGCATATGCAATGGTACTATGTATTGATATATGTGTGCATAAAATACCTATGCATACAGTGCATATATATACTGTCATTCTTATAAATCAGCAGATTCAAATAAGATATTTTCCTAGAAAACAGATTGTATAATGACTATAGTTAATAATTTTGGAATTAAAATGAGAACTCAGATTACAGTCTTTTTGTCTGCTCAGTTTTACTGCAGTGCAAGTTGCTAAGTACAGACCTTAACAGTGCTGTGTCACTTGCAACTCAAGGATCCTCTTTTTAAAAAAGTTAGGAAGCCATTGCAGTTTATTGTTGTGACTGAACAAATGTTGGGACTAGCTGTTTCTAAATTTGAGTGGATAAAAATAGAGATGAAAATAATCCAGGTAATCCAGTTTATCCTTGACAGCCACTTCACTGTCTTTAGGTTTCAGTGAGAAGGGCAGACTGGGCTTCTTCTGGTCTTGAGAAACACTAGCCTGTGGTAGGAGATGTGCAGACAGGGAATGAGTAGGAAATGTGTTACACACCTTAAGAAACTTACAGTCTGACTCAAAACCTGAAAAAGTCAAGGCAAGGAACTTCAAATGTACTGAGCTCTCTCACATATTATATGATGTGGAAGGCTTTGGCTTTTTCTAGTACGTGGCGTGTGCATCTACAACCTTTTTTCAAGCAGCACATCAACACCCTTCTCCAAAAAGTGGTAACTAATTCTTCAGTCCGACCCTGTTTTCTCAGACTTGCAACTACTATAGGCTTCAATGAAGGCTGCTCACAGGGAACAGAGCTGACAGGGCTGGAGCTTAACAGGGTGATGCTTCAACAGTGCATTTGCAAGTTAGAAACTTCACGTAATCCAAGGAGTGCCAAAAAGCATGGGGAGCCAGGGGGGTGAGGGCAAGGGGAAATGAAAAGCCAGTCTACCTCCAGAAACAGGCCTGCTGAGGTTACGTGCAAATCTCTCTAGCCAGCAGTCTGTTGAGAGTTTTCCAAAAGTTTTCCAAGTCATTCAAAGCTGACTTGATCACACTATGCATACTTAATCCAACTTCAAACCTTTACCTTTTATATATTGTCCTGCCCTCCTCTCAAATCCAGGGCACTGGCAGTAAGTGCTGCTCTGAACAAAACCTTTGATCCAACCTTCCCTCTCTTATTGCATTGTTGTCTCCTTCCCAGTTCAGAGTAAAACTCTCATTTCGGCTTGGAAATGAATGCTCACTTGATGGCTGAATGGAATCCTTATGGGCTGTATCTCAAACTCCAAAGGTGTTTTTAGTTCAGCTGCTTTTCTTAAATCTATGCTTGCTGATTAATAACAAGTTGCTTGTGAACCCTTTTCAAGGAGGATCTGGCACCCTATTTAAAAATCCCTGGACTAAGTCCAAGTAGTTTAGCTGTTTTTTAGGTTTCTCTATTCAATTCAGGGCATCAGACAGGTATTTTCAGAACTTGTTTCTCCACTTTGCTGGGCTTTGCAGTGTATAACGTAAGTAAAGATTCATTAGAAACAATACCCTCTCGTTTTACCACAGTTCTTTTCAAAGTGCTTAGAAAACTGGAACTGTAAAAACAGATCACTTACACTCCATTTCTGGAAATACTCCTGATAAACACTATGACACTCATTTTCCAGAGTGATGTAGACTTGCTACCACAAACTATTCAAAATACCTGTGTTCTGAGACACTGGATGCTCAGACAGAGTGGCCACCCCGCAGTGTGCACCCGTGCCTTCTCCCTTGGAGTCACAGAAAGATGACAGGATCTACTTTTTGAGGCTCTTGTTTTCTAAGAAAGAAAGAAAAAAAAAGATACAAATAAAAAAATGAAGCAACATACTTGGGTAGCAAGGGTGGACATGTCCAGGCCCAGTTCGTATCTCATGCAAAGATTTGAGCCTCCAACTGTCCATACTCACAGATTGCAGATGTAAACATCTCTGGAACTCAGCCTCAGTCAGGGCAAACTGCTTCAGCTTTCCAGACCGACTCTGAAAAGCTCCAAAAATAACGGTACTACTATTCTGAAGTTACTTCCTTCAACATCTGGGGTGAATATGTGATACAGGCTGCTCTAAGTATCACACGTATTTAAAACTAACAGGAGATGTCAAGGCTTGGTCCAACCACATTGTGGTCATTAGGAGGAGGGAGCTACACAAATGCTTCATGAGATACATATGCTGTTCTAGGGGTGCTAAGGGTTAGTCTGCTCTGAGAAATCTGCCATCCTCTCCAGATTTTTGAGAAATAACAAAAAAAACCCCTTTACGAAAGATAGAAAATATCTGTTTTTTAGCATAGATATCAGTGATGAGATATTTACCTTCTGTTTAGCTGACGGCATTTAAACTCATCTCTACCCTCGCCTACTGCACAAAAGAAAAAAAAAATCAATAAAATATCTGGCAACATTTATTGCATTATTTCTAATGGCTCATTAAAATGACACTTCCGTATTATGGAATAAGTACCATTGTCAAAACAGTGCTCTCTACTCGTGGAATGTGTTTTCCAAATATTTTTTTAAATAAAAATTAAGAATAGTAGTATTTTCAATCACAAAAGCCTACTCTTCTGAATCAACCAGAGGCATTATTATTTCTTTTTATTAACACATACAAAATTATTAGGGTATACAAATGTGTTTCCTTTTCTTGACACAGTGAAAACTAAATAAATGGGCATTACAGCATTAGTTTACATCACATTTTGTTTCAAAAAAACCACAGTTTATGATTAAACAAATAGGTTTATATATATATATAAAAAAAGAGCTTGAAATAGCTGGATAACAAATAATTGATTTTTACTATCAAAAGGCTGGGAGCAATTGTGTCCCCTGTGATTGTGCCCTTAGCTTTCAAACTGTGACCTCCACTGATATGAGTTTCTATTAAAAAAAAACCGAAGAGAACAACAACAACAAAACCTCAACAAAACAAACACCAACCAACTCCCCCCCAAAAACCCAAAACACCAACTCCCCCCAAAACACAAAATCTCAAAGCAATGGCACAACTTTTCGCAGGACAGTATTTTTTCCTGACGGCTTCAAGCACAAATGAATTATTTTAAATATCACATAAACCTACGGTAAATTAAAAAAATAGAAGATTACTTTACACAATGCATGGAAACCATTTGTAGTGAGCACAAACATTTACAACGGTGTCAGGTTTTTTCCTTGCATAACCCATACTCACACACAAACCACTTTTCAAAAGAATTAGTGAAATATTCAGTCCACTTTTGTTTCTTTTATACAATATGAAATGGTTACAATACCATAGTATTTTTTTAGAATAAGTTAAACATCAAGACATATGGCAATAGCATTGTTCTATTCTTTCTACATACATATGAAATCCCAAATTTCAGTCTATTTTTATTCAGTCACAAAAATGAATAAAGACTTAAGATCCAGTTATACTGGAAAACTAGACTAGTTCTAGAAACCACAAATACTGTAAGCACTTTGGTATAATATGTACAGATTGTGCTGTCAATGTCATGCTTGCATACTAGAATTGATAACAGATTTCCACTGGTGAATTAAAGTAAAAAAGGTACTGTAAGACTTGTTCTTGTATTTCTTTTTCTCTTTGGAAATGATTCAGTCAAAGAAGACACACCACAAGTACACATACAGCATTTGTGTTATGTGACTACAAATTAAATATTAAAGTATTTTTTAAATACAATGCAAGGCCAGTCTTCTTAAGTGCATAGAACGTAATGCAGAATACTGTTAGTTACAGGGGCAAGTACAAAGACATGAAACATTTTAACAGATATTGAATAATGTTCTTATTAAAAAGAGGTGTGAATGAGAACAAGCATTCTTCTATTGTTACAAACATCAACATGTTTTATCCCCCACTGGAAAGAAACACTAAATGCTGAATCATGAAAGATATCTACTGCATCCATTTTATCTCTTCCTTTCAAAGGCTTAGAATTGCACCTTCAAACTCTTATAAGCAGTTTGGATATTTGGTTTGGGTTCCCCCCCCCCTTTTCTTTTTTCTATTTAAAATAACAAAAATTCTTCTCTTCCTGAAAGTAGAACTCAAAAAGTGCATTTTAAATTAAAGAATTAAAGGGTTTAATTTTTCCCCATGTTTTATGGATGCATTTGTTGTGGTTCAGAAATTTTAGCGTAACCTATTCATTCTTTCTATCGCTATAATTTATCAGGCAATGCTGCCAAATTAGGTAGCCCCTCCTCTTGCAAAGCAAATGGTATTAAATTCTAAGAAATCCCAAACACTGCAATCCTTATTCAAGTGAAATGCAAACTTAAGGAGTAAGGACTGCAGGATTTTCAGAAGGTTTGGACTGTATGCAAAGTTTTCCCAAATTTGTATTTTCTCTTTTGGATTTTGGGATATAGTAAACTGCAAATATCATGTTCCACTAATACTGCAAGTCAGCTTCAGGTCAAGGTCTCATGAACAAAATGGTAGCCCCAAAACTCTCAGCCTAACCAGAGGAAACTCAGCTCAATCGCTAACTCTTTTCTTACACAACACCACAACTCATTTAATATGTAAACACAAGGGATGACGGTCCTCATTTAAAGCTCCTATTTTTGGCAAGTAATACTTCACAGGTATCAGAAATACTCTAATTAATGTCTCCATATTTCCCCCATTTCTAAGATGTTCTCTTTTCCTTACAGAGGTTTTAGCTATTCAACATCAAACCAAACAATTGCACAAAAACTGCAGCACCAAGCTTTGCTGACTCAAACTGCCGGAGAGCACACACAGGAGAAAAGAATTTGACTGTGGTTGTCGAGCGGGCTAGAAGTCAAAAGAGTTTCAATAAAACTAATGTTAACACATTCCTTAATTGAAATGATTAATTCTTAGCAGAAATAAATTAAGATCAGTCTGATCTTACTGTAAGCTAGTTGGTGACCCAGCCAGACTTTTGTGCAGATTGGGGTTTTGACTGTGCCTGTTCCGACTGCGAACAGATGAAAACATTGTGTTGCAACCTGGGACTTTGCATTTGTGGAGCTGGCGGAGATGCACAGTTTTGTAATGAGCCCTGAAAGTTCCTTTATTACTGTATGTTTTTTGACATATATGACAAGTTATTGGCAAACTGGAAGGTAAATTTGTAAAGTTTTGATTAGCTTTGTCAATTAAAGTACAGTCTTGGTAGAGTTCATCATTGGCCATTAGGCTGGGTCCTTCACAGCTTTCATCACTATCATCCAAGGGCATGGTGCATATTTCACTTCCTCCATCAGAATCCCAAGAAGAATGAGCACTGCTCTCAGATTTAATGCTGGAAGTAGTGCTTAGATCCAGAACAGCTCCATCATTTAATGGATCGTATCCATAACTCTCAGAACAGGGTTCTCTAATTTTGCTCATTGGAAAAACGTAGCTGCCTGTTCTGTTCATTCCTTTGAAGATTACAGAAGTATGTCCAACATGTTGTTTTAAAGAGACATCTTGGCAAAACTCCTTAGCCATGTCTTTCAAGAGGTATGTTGCATTGAAATGGTTGTTGAATTCCAGTGTATCTTTAGTCAGAAGCTTATGATGAAGATTTAGGTTTGAACTATGTCTAGAAGAACAAAGACAAGCTTAGCAAGAAAGTGTTTCGCCTCAACAGCTGTTTCATAATGATCATTAACAAAGAAAAAATTCAATATTTAGTAGCATGCATGAACTGTATACTTCTAATTTGACCAACTGCCACACTGGGAGTGCACATGGATGATTTACACATGACTGGGTTTCTGAATTTGCTTGCACTGGCATATATCAGAAATAACTACAGAAATCAATGTTTCAGATTCTCTCCTGCATTGTGGACAGCTGCCTGCTGTGCTTGATCTAGTGCTGGGCCTAAAAGAGTTGGGGGACAGACTTAAAACTGCAAATTGAACTGAGAGCAGAGAACGGACTGAGAGGGGTAAGAAACAAGATTCTTTTGCAATGGACAAAGCAGGAAAGGAGTGACACCTGAGTCTGCAAAACCTGTTGATGATCTCAAGTGCAGCTGTACACAGCAGTACAGAGCTTTTTCTTGACAGGAAGTTCCTTGAAAAAAGGAATATTGAATTTTACGCAACTTGCAGTTTTCAAATGGGCATCTCTGGATTCTGTTTAAAACCACCAAAACATACAAAATCACTGCTCCTCATTGAATACTATCAATCAGCTCACTGGGAACTTCCAGGCTCTCCCTAGAAGATTGAGTTTATTATAAGACTGGCAAAATATTTGTTTTTCCCCTTGCCATCATGGTTTAATCAGAACCATGAATTGTTCAAAAAGGCACAGAAATATTTTGTGCTTGCAGTCACAGTACTCTATGTTAAAGTCTAGAAACTTCTGCAAAGTTGTTCCAAATAACTATTGTTTTGTACAAAGCTTGTGAACTTTCTTCTGAGTTGGCTTGCCTTTTTTTTTCCTCAAATAAACCATTTTCCAAAAGCACCTATGCTAAAGCCTATCTGAATATATTGGTGTGGGAAGGAATCTGTGGTATGTGGATGCAAATCTTACTGCTGGCCTTCTTTCCTGTGGCCCATATCACAGTTACAGTGGAGAGGAATTCACATCTGGGAAGATGCAGGCAGCAGACCAGGGTATGAAGCCCTGCCAGCAGCAGATGAAACTGTGCATCTCAGATGCAGCGGCCAGTCCTCAGAGACCAGCCCATCCTCTCTCTGGACTGCATCAGCTGGCTCCAGCACTCCTAGCAGATTACAGACAATCTAAACCTTGTGTCACTCTGAACTACTATCCAGGCGTGTTTCCTGCAGCCAAAAGCTGCTGTAACACTTACAGAGAGCTGGAAAACTTACCACACTTTGTTGCACTTGAATAGGTTTGTTACCTATCACTGACCGGTTCAGATACACAACTGAGGGTCAACAACAAAACTTCAGTTCTTGTTTCTCAGCCTATGTGCATAATAGGCTGAAATAAAATGAATTACAGCCACACAATGCTGCAGCTAACAGTAAGCTGAATCAAGGTCGTGGTATAGTTTGGGAATTAGTATGTAATCTCACAGAAAAGCAGTACTGATGTGGATACACACCAGACAGGGTTAGTTCGACTACCACTGCATAATGTTAATTTTGTACTGACAAAGACTAATGTTGCTTTTCTTACAGGCTTTTTCTCACCAGTCTGTTGCAAATCCTTGATTAAAGCAAGGACCAGGGCAAGTGAAGATTTCCTGATTGATCTCATTGCTTTTCCATTAAAGAACACTATAAACATTAAAATACACATGAAAGTACATATTAAACATATAAGTCCACACATGCATCTACTGGAAAATTGCTGAATTCAAACCCTTGTGGCTTTCCCTTTATGTTCTAAAGTATTCCTTCAACTATTGCAGTCTTTATCAGTTATGAAATTTTCATGGCTTTATTTAATACCTCGTAGTCTAGTGGAAAGGAAATGTTTCTTTCAATGGATTTTCATTTTATGAATGTTCTGATAAGTTATCATACCTGTTATACGAGGATACACAGAAAATATTCGTAGGCTCCATTCCTCAAACATTCATTTTAATTTCAAATCAGGCTCCATTGTGATGGCAAAATAAATACAATTTTGTTTATAATTTTCTTACCTGTCTCGACTTCTACGAGAAGGGAAAGCAGCATTACAGCCCTCAACTGTGCAAATATGCATTTCTTTGAGATGTACATTTTTGAAATGCATTTTTACACTGTAAGGGTTTTTAAAAGTCTTCTTACAGATGTCACAATGAAAGCGGCTTTCTTCCTTCTGAATCCCTAGTGCATGTTGACTGACATGATCCATATCTTTAGAGTCTTCAAAACAAGGAATGGCAGCACCCCTGTTTGACAAAGTGCTGAAAAAGCCCCCGGTCAGCAAGTGGTGTTGCAATTCTGGGCAGTCATTTTTAGGAATCCTGTGCTTTGACTGCTCTTTAATATACATGGGGGCTTCAGTCATTGGTTTTATAACATCACTGTGGTGGTGTTTTGGATCTTCATACATAATCTCATGGGAAACTACTTTTAATGGTTGGTTTTCTTCTGGTTTAACCTCTTTCTCACAGTGTTGCAATTCATTCTCAGAGATATCCTCGATGTATTTGTTATTTGGCGCAAAGACAGATTCAAAATACTTTGGGCCCTCTACCCCAGAGAGAGATTTCCATGAATTACCTGAATGGGGGTGCTTTTCCACCCTGTCGGCCACTCGCTTCTCTATCTTATGCTCACAGGTCTCAAGCTCTCCATCGCTTACCACTTGCAGACGTGTGTCGTCTTCAGAACTGGCGACATCGCTGCTTTCGTGAGGTGTCTCAACAGCTTCTTTCTCTATCTTGATGGGCATGCTCGACTTACGAGACTTCTTCTTGGGGAGCATGTCAAAGGGCAATTCATTTGAAACAAGCTGCTCTGGTATTGAGGAAGAAACAAGAGGCAGAGAAGGAAGAGTACCTGGAGTATTAGCAAGCTCAGCTGGTGTGACTGGACTACGGTAAAAAGGAAGAACAGGCTGTACTGTCTTCAGGTTTGGAAAGAGGACACCATTGTGTCCAATACTGGAAAATCCAGCCTGACCTTTTGAATCTGTACAAGAGCTGGCATAGCTGGAAATAGTTCTGCTATCCGGAGTTAAAATTGTAAATTCTGTCCTTTTACTATCTCCAGGTCCAGCAATGCTCAAACTGTTTCTTAGATCTTTATCCCTGTTATTTCTATTCATTGGCATGTGGAGTCTGGGGTTAGGATTTGCACTATGACGATTTCGGCTGCGCAAAGAGCTAAATACCATATTGCAGCCCTCGATGGTGCACTTGTGCTTTATCTTCAGATGAACTGCATTGTAATGTATTTTCAGAGTACCTTTGTCATAAAATGTCTTTTCACATGCAGTGCAGAAAACACGCCCTTTCCTAGGCCCAGCACCGTTTTTTTCAACAGATTTAATTTTGTTTTCTGGAGATAGTGCTGTCATTTCAAGCTTTGCTGCTGTATTATGTGAACTGGAATCACTTAAAAGGGCATCATCTTCTGTTTTAGTGACATCTGGACCATTTAAGCTCCTCTCATTTTCAACTTGAAATGGTGCAGAACTAGAAGTTAAGAAGCTGCTTTCAGAAAATGGTATCTGAAGATCTTGTTTGGTTTCATTGCTGTGGTCTTGACCTTGCTCAATCAAATGTCTTTCTGGTGGTGAACCTATCAAAGGTGGAGGCACTGGACTGAAAAACTGAAATGGCAGCATGAAAGCCACGTTATTGACAATATTCTCAAAGGGATGAATGTTGGTGGGACTCATTTTCTCCAAGGAAGCAGAAAAATTTGGGCTGTGTGGATTGCAGCTCTCAATGAATGCCCTAATATCCAAATTGGCAGTTGGTGGTGGTATTATAATTGATTGCCCTTCTTTCTCTTGAATTGCCATTAACTCTACAATGGACTTAGTTTCTCCAAAGCGAAGAAACTGCTGCAAAGTAGCCAGTTCTTCTTCAGTGGTCATTATGCTCCAGTGATCCAGCACCTTTCCTGAAGCATCCTAAAGCCAAAAATATTTAAATGAGTCAGTTAAGGCAAACGAAAAACACCTCCCCTCAAATCTCTCATTTTTTCAGGGACTAAAATTTCTTCTCTAGCAAAATGATAAAAACATTCCATTTAATGAGATTAATGCCAATTCTGTGATAATTTCTTCCAAATGTTACCACATTGGTGATGTTATTTCTTTCTGAACTGACAGTAATACCTTTCAATAAACTATTTTTTTCCACAAAAATTAAGACACGTTATTTGAACAACAGTTAGTATCCTGTAAGTACAGACAGCAGAGATGGAGCAATCAGACCAAGATTTAGCTCCTCATTTAAGTCAAGTATTCTTTCATTGCAAGTTTAATAATCTTCCAAGCAACTAAGATCAGAGAACAAATGAACCTGTATTGATCTACTGCCAGTGTTCACAGAGCACAGCTGTAATTACACTAGTGTTGGAGTTCTTTCAAACTCTAGCTATGCCTAACTTTTCCCAATAACTACAATAAATATTTTATCACAGAACATGTATTTGATGGCCTACTGAGATTTTTCACAGTGCATGTAAGAGTTTCTAAGATGATGAAGAACGTAACATTATAAATTTTTCATGTGGTAGAGGTTCAAGGTAATTGATTCCATATTTTTAATCCTAACACTAAAAAGCAAGATTATCAAGACCATTAAATATTGATTCGTGTCATAATGTAAGATCATAATGTTACTTTACATAAAAGGTAACTTCCACAGCAGCAAGGACTAATGTCAGTGTAAGCTCATAGGCCCAAATACATCCTTGCTGTAGCTCCAGTAAGGTCAGTAGCACTACACCAGAGATGAATATTGTCCCTGGTGTTTAAGATGATGGCAAGTTTATTTCTTGATGTATTATTCTGCTGTATAAAGGCAAACTCACTGTTTAAATAAGACTGGAGAAAATTCTGAAGCCTTTACTTTGATACGTTCCCAGTAACTTTTTCTTTTTATCCTTGCTTACCTTTGTTGATAGATTTGAGCAAGTAGGGAGATTTCAATTAAGTCCAACTAAGAAAAGAGACCAGTGACCAAAAATGCACCCTTTCTTTTCTGGCATTAAGCTTGTACAAGTCTACTACTCCCTTTCAGCTGTGCCAAGTTGTTAACACATTGTGAACCACTGAGAACATTAAGCTAGAAAAACTACTTAACTATCATATTTATATTAAAAAAGCCCCTCTAAATACCTGTAGCACATATCCACGTATATAATCCTGCAGTGTCCAATCCAGAGCATGGAGGATCTGTATTACCTCTTCCTGCTTCAGAACACTGAAAAGCCGATCTAGCAGAATTTTAAGGCGCACAGGAATGGCTTGGGTTCCGTACAACATGAGGCTACTGATATCAAAGACAACATTGGATTGAACTATTTCTACTTGGCTTGATGGGTAGAGATTGGGAATCCTTAATTTGCTCAGGGCTGAAAATAAAAATCACGAAATATAAATAAACTCGAGTCACAAGAGAGAGGTAAAATTACATGTAACTAATATTGCAGTGGGGGGGCTTGAGAGGGTGACACAAAGAGCATGTTACAGGGAGGAGGATCCTAAATGGTTTTCTATAGATTGTAAAAACAAGTATTACCATGTGCTACCCATCCATGCCGGCACTGGTCACATTGTCGCTGATTTATTTTCCCAGGTTTGAAACACTGACAACTACAGTTCACGAGAGTGCATCGGATAGCCTGCGGATCAATGGAAAGGATGAGAGGTAATACAGGCACCAGTTAGAGTGTGCAGATTATACACAGACAGTACACCCATAAAATCCACAGAAGACAGTTAACATACCAGCACATACCTATCAATGTGCAATATAAGTAATCCAGGCAAAATTTGAATTATACAAGACTGCCTCTGCTTGAAAGAGAACTGGTCACCAAGTGGAACACTGGAATGTTACAGAAGCAGTATGTTTAATGATATAGGTAGCAACAATTCTCTGGATTTATTTAGGCTGAAGCACCTTTATAACAATTACAAAGTGTCATAAATTATGCATTCATCTAAGCTATGATCCTCATGTATGATCACTTTTCCAGGAAGGTCTGAACACAAAGACATACAGATGTCTCTCTTGCAGTTTTGCTGGAACTCCATACTGCAATATAGGAAGTTCTAATGAGCTCTGCGTAGATGCTGTGCCTTACACACGCAGGATCCACATGGAATAGATGTATTCTGTCAAACACACAGAGGTTCCCTAATGCTTCTCAGGAACAGAGCCTACCAAAAAGTACTGCAACTCCTCAAAGACTGAACAATCACATTTTGTAAGAGAAATGCCTGAAAGCAAAATAGAGCACACAGAGAGCAACAAGTTGCATGGTTCAATTTGTGCATCACTTTACTCTCACCAAGGTCATCTATAATGCAAATCAAATTAGTATTCAGATATCCATAATCAACAGGGTGATGCAAACTTGCTTCCTGGAATATATGCCTTCCTCTGTATGTGCCCATCTGCTGGAGAGGCAAACAGACAACCTGGAGGTCCTAGTTAAAGCTCCATAGGGATTGCTATAGAGCAATGCATTTGCAGGATTCTGCATTGCTTGGATCTGATACTGAAAATAGTTCCCACATCAACAGAATATTAATTAAGGGAGGGAAGGCAAAGAAATTGATGTGCAGAAAGTCTGCACTGGAATAATAAGGAAAAATGTTAGATTATGCAATTGTAAAATGTCTGTATTTTTCTGCCTTTAAAGCAATATGTTCCTGCTCCTCGTTATCCAAAATGGGGACTTCCATTCCTTATAATACCCACAGGAAAGCAAGATAAGATTTTGGGGAAAAAAAGAAGCGTGGCAATTCCCACACTGGCACTTTCAGAAAACATACAAAACAGCAAGTTTTTGGACAATCAGGCTAAGAAGGATGGATGGAGGAAATGTTTAAAATCAAAAAGACATGAGAGACAGGTAATTTCACTGGGTTTTGCAATGGACATTTTGTTAGACTTGAAGAATTTGGCTGACTCAGGGCAGAAGAGGACACTATATACATAAGCCTGCTACAAACAAGCATGTTCATAACATTTGGATGTCTAGTGCTTTATAGTAATGGATTTGGACTGAGATTTTAAAATCTCAGTGCCTGTCCTACCCAGGAGTTAGTTTACATGCGCATCTCCAAACTGCAGTGGCTTTGCGCTGAGATTCCTCTGTATTTGAAGGACTGGAACAAGTGGCAACAGGGCCGCAGAAATCTCTGAATCACTTTGCCTTTAATCTTTTAAAGGAGCCATTGCAAAATGCTGAATTCTTGAGAAAAGCTCTATGCTCCCCATAAAGTTGTAAAATACACATCAATATCGTACACAGTGTGAATTGCTTCACTTTAATGGAGGATACATTTTCACTTAGATGCTGAAATCCTTTCATATAGCAATAAAAAGCTATACATTTCTTATAGAAAGGCTGGGGGAAAAGAAGGTGTAGTTGACTGCTGATTTATTTCTACCACAAGATATCAAACAATAATGCAGTTCAAGTCTTCTACCTCTGTGCATACATAATATTCTGTGACTTGCGTGGATGGAACACCTTTCACAGGCGACCCTGCTAGGTTTGGTAAGCTACAGTGCACTCCATAAATGCAACTTTTGCATTCCCTTCAGACAAAATTACAAATGAGTACTTCCTTTTTCTGCAAGAAGTAACAGAAATATGCACAATGAAAAAAGCTGTCATGATGATAAGTTAATTGAGATTTCAAAATTTTTGTCATTCCTTCTCCTTTGGACATGTTCCACAAACCACTGACCTTTAAAACTATTTTTTTACTTAATTTTTGTACTTAGACAAGAAAGATATGCTACACCAAATTCTGCATTTTTTGCCTAAGAACTTTTATATGGTAATGTATTTATTTTGCTTTCCTGTGTATGTGTAGAAGACTGCATATGCAAAAACCAGAACAAGTAAAAGGAGGACATTTTGTGTTACATATATGAAAGCAGCTGTTAAAAAGGCAGGAGAGCTCCCTTCTATTTTAAATATTGAACTTATCCCCTCTATGGTTAATACATTATTGCTTCTGGAAACTAGTCTTAGATGTAGTTCGCTTGCATATTGCTAATATATCAAAGGTGTACTCTCGAATCACACATCTGCTGCTGACTTAAAAAATTACTTGAAAGAAACCCTAAGAAGAAACAAGTGTTATTTTCAGGTTTATAGCATTTCTCTTCATTTGTGCCTGTCACAGTCTATGTCTCCTAAAAGTTTTTTAGCAACATTTGCTTTAATATAGTCACAGAGAATATAGAACATGGCAAAATTAACTTTTAAAATAATCAGTGAGTCACAATTTTAAATTGTCACGGTCAGCTTAAAAAGGTACTTGTAAAAGGTGCACTTTGATTATCTCCAGAATTAACTTATATCAGACTTCAATGAAGAGAAATGTAGCAAAACTTCATGACAATAATACCCTTGTCTTTTGCCTGTTAATCCTTAATACGCCTATTCTAAGGTACTGTAATTATATCAAGTCTTTTAATAAGCTTTATTTTCCCAACAAGTGGAATGTACACACAATTTTATTCTACAGAACAAAGGAAAAACTTTCTGTATTGCATACATGTAAAGCTTGAAAATTGTAATTAAAGGATTGGAAAAGGTAGATGGAAATTAAAGTGGAAATTTTTTAAAGTACAATCCTTTCATTCACATAATTATTTAGTTTCATTTTCCAGAAATACAAGGTAGATGTCCAAAAAAAATAAATCTTATGCTATCATCAAGGATCTCGTTATTGCTTTCCAGTCACTCTCTCCTTCACAAATGGATCTTTCCAAATCCATTATCAGCCACACTTCCTTAATTCTTTTTAAAAAATAGAGTTGAAAATTCTGATCAAAACTTTCTGTGGTTTTACCAGCATGACTGTGGGAATCTGAATGCTGGACTTTTAATACAAATGATTCCTCATTACAAGGGAGACAGATTAACTATTAAACTGGCCTCTGTAAAACATCTAACTACTAATCACTGAATCTTAACCTCTGTTGCCTGAAAGCCACTCCTGCTCACATCTTTTTTTTTGCCAGATATTGATGCGGCTTTGATTATGCTTCAAAAGTTCCTGAATGTTTCTTTGCAACCCACTCATAGCCCTCACAGCCAAAGATAAGCCCAAGCTAATGGGACATATTCATTCCCATTCTGGGTACATAATCAGGCTTCATTTTCCAAAGCAAGTTTGAGATCATCCATGCTCTCCTGAAGCCTTTTGGGACCTACGCTCACTTGCAACATACAGCAGCAGGTTCAGGAAAACGCAGCAAGAGGAGGGCAGTGTAAGTGTATCAAATCTCATTCAGTGTTAAGTGGGTTCTGGTTTGACAGCACTTTGGCTTGGGAAATAAATTAAAAAGTAAGCAAATATTGAAGACCCTGTCAGGACTGAGTTAGAGATCTCTGCTCATGCTGGAAAGCTGGTCTGGATTTCCGCACATAGCGAGAGCTGCAAGTGCAGACACCAGTGAAATGGAAGAGCAAGTCCCAGGTTACCCTGGTGGTATTTAGCCTCAGAAATGCACAGGTCAGCACCCTCACTTCTGGCACTTCCTGGCATCTAAGAAAAACCCTTGTCTTCTTTGCAAAAAGCTACGCCCCACTTTAGAAACTCCTGCCTTTTTTTTAAGCTACTGCCATCACCTGAAGAGCTTGAGAGCTTCCCTGCTCTGCTCTGAGGATTACCAACAAAATGGTGTTATTGATGCACAGGAACATATTTTGCAGGCAGGGTTTAGAAATTCCTGTCAGTTCAAAATGCACGTCTGAAGAAGAAATAGGAGTTACTCAAAACAAATAGGTGAGAGAAACTGTCAATAGATGAGCTGTAACAGATACTGCTTTCCATGCTCTCTGTTGAGGGCTTCTAGCAACAAGCCATATCTCCTGTGGCCATCGCACCATCATTTCCTAGAAAAGGTAATCCCACTGAACATATGTAACCCACCATGATACGTGCTCTGGTAAGCACAAATCCTATAGGAAAAAACTGGGACATGTCCCATTTCTGCAGAATAGATATGCAGTTGCTCCACAGTAAGAACACTTGTATAAGAAGAGGCAGGATTTATAGCAGGGGAAGAAATAAAATTAAACATGGGACATACGTCTGGTTATTTGGAAATATTTTGTTTCTTGCACCTTGTAGAAGATCTGCAAGGGAAGCAAAGTGATGAATAGCTCTACTACCTCCTAAATTAAAAGTACAGGCCACAGCTAAATCAAAAGCCAAATCTAAATCTGTGTGCATCTTTCAGTAAAGAGAACAGTAATTATAAATGAGTGTGAAGTTGTCTTCCTGATCAATTTTTCTTTCCTGTTTTTACTGTTATCCACCAGGTTTCTTGTGTTTGCAAAGTTCAAGTAAATCTTCGTTTTTCATCACCCATTTGATTACTTCTGTATTTGAATCTTAAGCACAACCATTGAAAGCAGAGACAAATTAAAACCCCCTTATCTTAAGCATCTCTGTCAATGCCATACTTTTTCACATCATACAATGAGCAAACCTTTGCTTTGTCCATTGTTTGTCAGGCAACTTTTGCCACTTTCCCTAAGGATGTATTCTGCTGATAAATAATACTGTCTGTCAGTTTTGTCATGATTTAAAACAAGCTCTCAATTTACATTTTCTTATTTTCACTGTATCAAAATCCAGCTGT